CTTCTTCTGAAAGCGATAACCAACAACAGCGACAGCAACAACGAAACAGCTCTCCAGATTCACTTAAAATTATTCACTCATTCAATCTAGTTGATAACCTGAACGTCAACAATAGATATCGTAATAAAAACGCTGATAAATATAATAACAAAGATGAATTTGATCATGAAAATAAGCATAATAATCGTGATTATGACAATGATAATAATAAGCAATCACTGAAAAGTGCATCGAAAATGAAGTTGAGAGAATCCGCGAATGACAAGTCAACGTTGTTTAAAGTGAATAAATCGCCATATCACATGATTCGAGAGGTTTGTAATCGATTGATAATTACTCATTTAATTATCATTATTGTTAATCTTATTATTGTTACTATTGTTTATTTATTGTTTATTAACTCAGCTATCAGTAGTAATGGCATCCGAGCGAAATTCCATGTCGGTGGGAATCCGACCGCTATGAAATTTCATCATTTCGGCAATCGGAATTCCCTCATCGACTAATTCTCTGAGCATTACTCTGTAACGGTCAAAACTATACGATCATGATGTTATTAGCATCAATATAGATCATTCATATGGAACCCTAATGATCAATTCGATATCAATACCAGTAATGATTTTGCGTTAATATACAATAGACATGTACATGAATTTCAGGCGAATATCCCAGACTCAACACGAAATGCCCATTCATCTTCACATTCCAATGAAGACACATCGGATCTAGACTCTAATCGTGAACGGATTGAATTATCTGATTCGAGTTCTCATTCAAATGAGCAGAAAGTGGGCAAATTCAATATGAAATTATCAGCTACTAAACAAAAGGTGAATAGGTTCGATGCTGATAAGAACGATGATGACAGTGATAGGAATGTTGTTACGGATAGCAGCGATTACGATAAGATCAGCACAATTCTTGGTGCAGCAATGCTGCCTCCAATGGAAGTGCATAAACCAGCCAAGATTTATTCATCGAAAGCCATCAAGAACTCATTTACTGTTGATAATAATGTTCGTCGATCACCCAGCAAAACAACTCATAATCCGGTTTGTTTCTATTGATATAGCTATTATCATTGCTATTATTATTTCAATTTGTATCAAAATTCGATATTATCAAACGACAATCGATGAACTGTACCAGCGATTTTCACGCTCATGCATTGCGTGACACCCTTTGGTCCTAAGACAAATCGCTAGTCCTCCTTAACTTTAATCCAGAATAGACCAATCACAATTCCTTCGCTTTTTTTTCTGATACTCAGATCACTGCACTGATAGTGAGTAAGAAATCAAAAGAGAAGCGGAGAGTTGATCTGGAACTGATCAAAGGAAATTCTTTGATTTGCTGATTAAGAAATTGAAGAACTCGTCGATTTTATCGATGAATTCTTCAATTTCTTAATCAGTAAATCAAATCTGACTCCTTGCGATCAAACGTTCAGTTTAAAAACGCTATCAGATGACTATGGAAGAACTATGCAAAAATTCAATTAATATTAAGTGCTTTCCGCAAATTTCTTCCAAATATTGTCGAATTCCCGCAGATGGGAATTTCTTTCAGTGACAACCACCGATTTTAATTGAAGTATGAAAATTTTCAGCCCGACTCAAAAGTTGGCTC